CCTTCTTTCATGTTCTTTGTTTTTGTTTCTGTTTTGTGTAGGAAAACTGAATTGGATCATTCAATCACCAATCCCTGTGGAATCGACCTCGCACTTACATACGCTAAACTACCAACGGTTCGTGCACTTGCGAGTATCACAAGTTGAGGATGCAGCTGAATCCATTTTGGTGCAGCTGAAATCTACACAACAGTGAACACCTCCGTCCCTCGGTCGTGAGTTGGCAGCAGTGCTCGGTAGCTTTCCCTGCTGTATATTCCCTTATTCTTCTTGGGATGCTCCTTTCGGGAACCTCCGGCGTGCTTTCGCTTGTGACTCCTGGGGTATTCGGTAGGTTTTCATGTGGGCGCGAACGACAATCCCTGTACCGTTGCAGATCGTTGTATGGGCTCATTTTGCCGAGCCATTGGCTCGATTTTCGAGTTGAAGTATTCAGCTTTTGCGTGGATTGCTGCCTGTTTCATCAGCTCGTCGTACGTACGCCAATTGCTGCTATGTACCATATACCGAAAGTGTGAGGACCGTAGGCCACTCTTAAAGGCGTCGTAGGCTGCCCTATCATCGGTATCTGGACACCTTGAGTATTCATGGCTGAACCGCGCAGAGTACTCTCGCAAAGGCTCGTCGTCTCTCTGCCGGACGGTGTATAGGTCATCGGCAGAGTACAGTCTGTCCGTTTGAATCATGAAATGGTTCAGGAAGATCTGCTTCAGCTCATCGAAGGAATTGACCGTCCCTGGTTCCAAACGGTAGAACCAGTTCAAGGCAGCCTCCGTGAGCAAGGACGGGAATAGCAGGCATTACCCTTCGTCGCTAAGCCCTCTGCATCCTACGGCAGATTGGAAAGAGTGAAGGTGCGTCAGGGGATCCTCTACACCCGTGTAGGACAATATGCGTAGGGGCTACACGTCTCTATCCTGCCCGTGAGGGCTTTATGTGCTCGGTGAAGGGTCCCGGCCGAAGCCTTCCCCAATCGGGCTCTTGCGAATGAGTCATGTCGTCCTCCATCTTCTGCATCCTCTGTAGGAGGAGGCGAATGACCGCGTCTTGGCTAGGGATCTCCTCCGTTGTGTGGTGTACCGAACGGCGAGGGGACCTGATCGGGTTGACCTCAGAGTGCCTCGTTGGCGTTTCCGAACGGTAAGTTGATGACCGGTTTTTAGAGGGGGCGTACTCGTGGTCAAACTCTACCGATGATTCCAGAACTTGTATCCTTCGTATGGGTGACTTCTTCCCCAAGTTTCTCTGTCAGGGATCGTCTAGGCGTGCGTTTATCCTGACTGGTGATCTTTGCCGTTCGGCTTCCCGATCCAACAGCCTATGGCGACAATCAAAATAGACTTTCTTCGGCACCTGGGGCTTATCTTTCGGTGCCGGGACTACCAATTGTTTGGAGGGCGCAGGCGTTGCCTTTGCCGCCTTTTTGCCCTTCTTCTGCCGATGGGGAGTCTGCATATTTTGTGTTTGCTACTGATTAAGCAACTGTTGTGTCTCGTCCACTTTGGACGAGAGGAGATTGTTGTGTTCCTGTAACTTAGCCATGTTCTGTCAAAGAGACGTGATTTGAGCTAGAAGCTCAGCCTTGACGGTGGTTTGGAGTACAGGGGAGTTGCTTGCCGGCGTGTATGGGGGCGGTGTTGGGCTAGCTCCGCCGGCCTGCCGAACGACAACCCCTTCTGTGGTAAGAACATAGTTTTTGATGTGGTCCCCATTTTATAGGGATAAAGGGTCGATTGTTTATCGTTTCCCACAGACGGCGCCAAACTGTTGACGCTAAAAAGTGGTTCAACACTCTTAAGCTCAACTTAGTAATTTTGGACCTTCGGTATCCTTAAGTCCTCGGTAGGGAGTGTAATCTGCAATATGAGAAAACGCTCGGTAAGACCTAGGGCACCAGTGTGGTACCGGCCGAAGGCTCTCCGATGCTTAAGTAAGTTCGGATTTAGTAAATTAAACTGACAGATCAATAGGCTTGTGTGCCGTTCGTTCTGATTACCTCTATTTTGGGATAGTTGGCCTCCTTTATAGGCCTTGGGAGGTGTGCACTTTGTTTAGAATTTCGATGTGGGACTGTGGACGTCGATTATGAGCATGCCACGTGTCCTAGGAGGGGGCGTTGCCCTAATGCATGGATTGGTAGCCTGGGTGCCGAAGGCAACTTTGACTAGACTCGATTTTGTCCACGTGTTTTGTTCTTATTGGCTATTCATTTCGATATAAACAAAGGTACTTTAAGGAAGAAAGAGTTGCAAGCCACTGAAGGTTAGTTTCAAGATTTTCAGCAACCTTGATATTGGGGGGAATGTGATTACCAAGATCAAGATAAAGCAATCTTGAGAGGTTTCCAAGATTGGGGGGAATGACTCCAACAAAATCTAAACCAGAGAGATTGAGGTATTTCAGTTTCTCTAGTGATCCAATGAAACTTGGAAGTTGGACACCTCCAAAGTTATTCATGCTCAAATCCAAGTATTCCAAATCTTTCAAAACAAGCAAAGAAGGGTTGATCTCACCATCAAATGCATTCTCTTCGTACCCATCACGATTGCCAAGATTGAGCCTGTTGACACGTCCAGTTATGTTGTTGCAGCCTACACCACTCCATTTGCAGCAATCTTCTCCCACCCAAGACAAAAGCTGTTCGGAAGGATCCGTGAGGCCTTGTTTGAGCTTGAGAAGGGCTTTCCTCTCTATATCTATGCATCCCATATTATGATTATCACTGCAAAAACCGAGTTTAATGGTTTCAAGGGATAAAATTCCTGACAGTATAATTAGTGAGACAAGTTGGATGGAAGCACTAGCACTGCTGTGACCCATGATTCTTATGCAATGGGATGATCTGTAGGACTAAAGATATGAGTCTGCAAGATTAAAGAGTACAGAGATGCCCTGTATATAGGAGTAAATGACAATTCAGATGGTTGAGCTTTTGTACGCGTCGTCGTGGACACGCTATCAAGAACGAAAAATTTCCATAAAGTCTTTGATAAACGACTTTCTGGTCTTTGATAAAGATAAAATACTGACACTGCTACGATCTTGACTTGTGGGATAAATACTTCAACCCCATCAGCACTTAAGCCAGATAATGACTTTGAAGTCTAAAGTAGCAATTTCAGTCAATGGGATATTTAAGACCACAAATATGGAGTACAAGTCGGACAAATAATATCCAAAAAAAATACTGGGGTCGCATATTTTTCAAATAAACTATTTGACGTAGTTATAGAAGAGTTATTTACATAAACATCGTCTAAGATTTTTAGCTTTTTCATAAAACACCTTGAGGTTTTAAAAATTACATGAACATCCCCTGAGGTTTTAAATTGTTTTTACAAAACTCTGTTTCATTGATTTTTCATCCAAAAAGTGATGATTTTATAATAAAAAAAATTCTCCGAATGACAACTGATCTAACTAAATATTTGCTACAAGTAAATGAAATCATATAAAAGACTTCCAGATACGTTTTTGATGACTGGTAAAGGATGGGCTCTTTTGAGGAAATAGAAAAATTACAAAAAGAGTTCAGTGAAGATCAACTTTGGTTGATGGGTTTGGACCGTAAATTGGTTATTGAATTGTTGATCATGTGTTTAATTAAAACTATTGATTTCGTGTGAACTCACAAAACTAATTACTTTAAATAATCTAATCTACTAAAGAAATTCAAACTATTAATCCAAAAGGGAATTATACTTAAAATCCAGTAATATAGAAGGTTTCAGATTAACATAGAAGACTACCAAATCTCATCAAACAGCATTGCCGTATTTAAAAAATTCCTGCCTAACTCAAATGAAATGCATATACTAAATTGTTTGCCGTATTTAAAATAAGTACAATATATTTTTTGCATGGAAATAGATCGCTCTTTAATTTTGAGAAGTGGAAGGGTATTTTTTTAAGCAAATGTTCTCCAAAATAACTGTTGCATCTAATAGAAGGTGTAAAACATTGTTAGAAAGAAAAAAAAAAACAGACTTTAGAAAGAGTTGGCAAATAAAAGTCTGACAAAATCTGTCTCATTCATATATTCTAGTATATTGATAATTCCACCATTAAGATTCCTTTCTTTGATCATGCAACAACAATCAATCTAGCTACTATCAAAACTTGCTAATAACATCGCTACAGCCAATTCCAAAGCCTAGCATGATTTATTTCCCTCAAACACCACCCTTACGGGGGACAAGGGAGACCATCTGAAACCAGAACACAAACCAAGGATGGAGGTGGCCGATCAGCCCATCTTTGCAAATCCACCGCACCCAAACCAATCCTTGCCACTTCATGAGCAGCTCGATTCAAATTCCCAGGGGTCCAAAACCACTCAACGGACTCAAAGTTGGACTCCATCCTGCGAGTCTGATTGATTAGGGCTAGAATAGTCCAATCTCTGCAGAAGGGGGGATAGGGTTGATCGGAGTAATGCGACCATCATGTGCAGGGGAGAGCCAGCTGTCAGACCAGATACACGTATATATTCTCACCATTTAGGATCTGTATTCGACCTCTATCAATGATTGCCCTTTTTCCTTCCAGAAGACTTGTCCAAACCCATGAAGGTCTGGCTCCACCAACGGCATTAGTGAAATCATCATCCGTAAAATAACGCCCTTTTAGCACTTGGCCCAGAGAGCATTAGTTAAGGTTCATAATTTCCTCCTCTATTTGTTTTTGTGCGGTGAGTGTTATTGGGGCTTTGGGTTGTGAGGTTGCCAAACACTTTGTAAACATCCTAATTTCTTGATAGTGGACGTGTTTGCATATGCTGCTCTAGGACATACCTCAGTTATACTTGTTGTGAGGAACTTCGTTAAATCTTTTACTTTCTGACTCAAATGGATTGAAGCAATTGTTTCGTTAAGGCACAATACACAAAAGTATAAATTCATATTACAATAACCAACTTACAAAATTGTAAAGGACAATACTAAACTTTGCTTTATTTGCTTGCATACATATTCCTTCACATGTGCAGCTTCATCTATGCTCTACGATCTTTTCTGCAGATAAGTACCAATGGCTGAGACAAAATCAAAGACAGCATCTTTCACTTTGTCAAGGAAGTGAAAATAGGCATGTCTCCAAGACCTCTTCATGGCCAAAGTCCCAAAAACTCCCCAGAACCCTGCACAGAAACCTATTACCATGCTGATGATGAATTGTAGCTTTTCAAGTTTACTGTCATCATCCTCTCCTCCATCTCCACTTGGAACTTGAGGTGCTCCTTCATTGTCTTGGCAACCAGTTGGTAATGGACACCCGCTAAGACCTGCATTGCCCTCATAAATTGACGGGTCAACAAAGGTCTTAAACTGGTTACCCGTTGGAATTTTCCCGGACAAGTTATTGTATGACAGGTTCAGATGATTCAAAAATGTTAAAGAAACCATGCTCTGTGGAATTGAACCTGAAAGTTTGTTCATTGATAGATCAAGACTTTCTATCCACCCCAAGTTTCCGATATCTGCTGGGATATTTCCTGTCAAATGATTCATGGACAAATTTAAGGTGCCCAACTTTATTAGGCTTGTTATCCCCACAGGCATCTCTCCTGACAGGTTATTGTCCGAGAGATCAACACTATTAACAAGGTAAAGGATGGAGTCATATACAAGCACTCTTCCTTTTGACACCACCTCCAATCTTCCCAAATAACCGTAGGATTCTGTATCCATGTCTTTGACCTCAAATTTAAAGCCATTCAAATTACCTATGCAATGGGGAATATTTCCGGAAAGATTGTTGTGTGAGAAGTCCAATATATGGAGAGTGGAAAGGCCACATAATTGTAAAGGGATGCTTCCAATAAATGAGTTGGACCTCAAGCTTAAAATCTTTAAAGAGAGCATGCTTTCACCAATGAAAGCTGGAATCGGTCCAAAAAACTTGTTATCACCAAGATCAAGAATCTTTAGGTTAGTGCAGTTTTTCAAGGACGGAACTTCACCTGAAAAGTTGTTGCTGGAGAGGAACAAGACTCTGAGTGAAGTAAAAGAGCCTAAGGATCTTGGGATTGTACCAGAGAGACTGTTGTTTGACATGTCTACAATATACAACGATGGTATATTGTTCCAAAAATGAGGAATCTCACCAAACAAGAGGTTATTTGACATCAACATGAAATGTAATTGGCTTAAATTACCAATGGATAGGGGAATGCTTCCACTCAAAGAGTTCCTAGAAATGTCTAGACGTGTCAAATTGGGCATCACTTGACCAATGTTATGAGGAATTGGCCCGGAAAATAGATTATCTCTAAGATACAGCCATGTAATGTTTGAGGACCAGAGTGGGAGTGGACCTTCAAAGCGGTTTGAAGTAAAATCAACACTGGAATCATAGCTGAATCTTAATGAATTGGGCACCCTGCCGCTTAGTTGATTATGAGCGACATTTAGAATATCAAATTGCAAATCCAACTGACAAAACCAATCTGGTATGGTGTCTGAAATCCTAGCATTATTGAGTACCACCGTGGTCAACTCAGTTTGATTTCTTAGCCATGTAGGAAATTTGGGACCCAGTTGGCATGATCTTATGTCCAAGTATCTTAATTTGAAAGGAGGTATCCAATCAGAACTTATGTTGAAAACCAAGGAAATGTTTGGGGGATCATTTGCAATTGATACTTCTCTCAGGCCTCCAAGTTTCGAGAAATGAGCTTCTGTAATGGCACCTTCCCATGTGTTGTAAGAGATATCTAGCGAAACCAAGGATGAGAGCTCCCCAAGACATTCTGGGATGATCCCACTCAATGAGTTAGCCGTCAATATGAGGTATCTCAAGCTTTTAAGATATCCCAAAGAATCAGGCAGTTTTCCTGTCAGACTGTTATATGCCAAATCCAACATCTGTAGTTCAGTGTGATTGAACAGCCAAGGAGGTATTGTGGATTTGAAATCGTTGTCAGAGAGATCAAGAACCAAAAGGGATGTGAAATTGATAGAAGGAAGAGTGAGAGGAAGGATGGAAAGTCCACAAAGGGGCAAATGCAATTCAACAAGTGAAGGGAGCATATTAACAGTGGGAAGCCAATAGGGTGTAGCCTTGGTAAGGTCCACTCCTTCCAAGTTAAGGTACTTTAAGGAAGAAAGAGTTGCAAGCCACTGAAGGTCAGTCTCAATTGGGTTAGGAAAAAGGAAATTACTAAGATCAAGATAAAGCAACCTTGAGAGGTTTCCAAGAGTGGGGGGAATGACTCCAACAAAATATGCACGAGAGAGATTGAGGTATTTCAGTTTCTCTAGTGATCCAATGAAACTTGGAAGTTGGACACCTTCAAAGTAATTCATGCTCAAATCCAAGTAATCCAAATCTTTCAAAACAAGCAAAGAAGGATTGATCTCACCACCAAATGCATGCTTTATTGATCCGTAACCATCTAACCCATATGAATAGCGATTGCGAAGATCAAGCATGTTGACACGTCCAGTTATGTTGTTGCAGCCTACACCACTCCATTTGCAGCAATCTTCTCCCACCCAAGACGAAAGCCGGTCGAAAGGATCTGTGAGGCCTTGTTTGAGCTTGAGAAGGGCTTTCCTCTCTATATCTATGCATCTCACATTATGATCATCACTGCAGAAACCGAATTTAATGGTTTCAAGGGATAAAATTCCTGACAGTATAATTAGTGAGACAAGTTGGATGGAAGCACTGGCACTGCTGTGACCCATGATTCTTATGCAATGGGATGATCAGTAGGACTAAAGATATGAGTCTGCAAGAAAAGAGTATAGAGATGCCCTCTATATATAAGAGTAAATGAGAATTCAGATGGTTGAGCTTTTGTACCCTTCGTATTGTTCAAAATTATGCGTCATCATAGACATGTTACCAAGAATGAAAAATTTCCATAATCCGGTCCCTACCTACAAGTCTGATAAAGATAAAATACTGACAATGACAGTACTACTACGATTATGCATGCAAAGACTTCCAAGTCAAGTTGTGGGGTAAATAGTTCAACCCACTTAAGCCAGATAATGACTTTGAAGTTTAAGAAGTCAAGTTGAGTTGTGGGGTAAATAGTTCAACCCACTTAACTTAAGCCAGATAATGACTTTGAGGTTTAAGAAGTCAAGTTGAGTTGTGGGGTAAATAGTAAATAGTTCAACGCACTTAACTTAAGCTAGATAATGACTTTGAAGTTTAAGAAGTCAAGTTGAGTTGTGGGGTAAATAGTAAATAGTTCAACGCACTTAACTTAAGCTAGATAATGACTTTGAAGTTTAAGAAGTCAAGTTGAGTTGTGGGGTAAATAGTAAATAGTTCAACGCACTTAACTTAAGCTAGATAATGACTTTGAAGTTTAAGAAGTCAAGTTGAATTGTGGGGTAAATAGTTCAACCCACTTAAGCCAGATAATGACTTTGAAGTTTAAAGTAGCAATTTCAGTCCATAAAAATATGGAGTACAAGTCAGACAAATAATATCCCAAAGAATACTTACGTCACATATTTTTCAAATAAACTATTAGAGGTAGTCATAGAGGAGATAGAGGACTTATTTACACTAACACCCCTTTAGATTTTCGGTTTTTTCACAAAACTCCTTGAGGTTTTAGAAATTACACGAACACCCCTTGAGGTTTTAAATTTTTTCCACAAAACTCATTTTCATTTATTTTTCATCTAAAATTTGATGATTTTATTCAAAAAAATTCTCCAAATGACAGTTGTCCTTTGAGATTAGATTGCATATACTTCATTGAGAGCATCCACAATGGACTCCATAAACCATATCATTAGACAAATTTTAGGGAGGAATTGGAAAATACAACTCCAAACATGCTCCATATCCACCTCCTAAAATAGCGAGACCTCTAAAAGCCCCTAAATCTAAGGAGAGAAAAAGGACTTCTAGTGGCTCTCTATAATTTCATGCTGCTTTATTTAATGAGTATTTCAAACTTTTAATTAATGCTAACTATTTTTTATATTATTTTTTAATAGATATGGACCAATTAAAAAAGAATGATAACATTTATGACCCCCTAAACTAGAGAGCATGATTGGAGTTTAAATTTTATAGAGAACTCCTAAGATAACTTTTATATGTTTTTAGCTAAAATTTAACTGAAAAATAGAGAGCATGATTGTGGATGCTCTAAGGTTAATTTTGTCATTTGCATAAATTGTTTTTCAATAAAATCATTAATTTTTGGACAAACAATCAACGAAAAGGGTTTTGTGAAAACAAACTGAAACCTCAGGGGTATTCATGTAATTTTTGAGACCTGAGAGGATTTTGTGAAAACACAAGAAACCTCAGAAGGTATTAGTGTAAATAACTCGTCATAGATATGAAACAAGAGGTCCTGCTATATATATATATTAAAAAACTCTCAAATCCTACGAATTTCATGAGGACATTATCAAAAATGAAAATTGTTTATAATTTACAAATCAAGCAGTATGCATAAGCCAATGGTGTTTATTTAATATTATAAGATCACAATATACCACATGCACTAATCTCTACCACCCTTCTCTCTTCTCTCTCTCTCTCTCTCCAACAACAACCCACCACCCTATCAACCTCCAACCCGAGACCAATCCCTGGACAACCTGGATGAGTCCATTGAGTTTAATTGTCGGACCAGATTAGTAGTGGCCCTCGATAGTCCGGTGTACACCACTTAAAACATAAGAATACCAACTGATCTGACTAAATATTTGCTAAAAGCAAATGAGAGACACCATCAGATTAATTCAAATAAAAGACTGTTGAATTATAAATTCCTGCTGGTTTAAGTTTTATTTTACAGGTGTAATATTTTGGTTGGATGAGTCTTATATGACTCAGATTTAAGACAAGTGTACAGCTTACATCGCTGGATCAATTGTAAGGCTGAGATCACATTCTCATCATTGTAAAAGGGATAGTTTCAGTTAGAAATGAATGCACTGTGCACTGCCATGTCTTGTGCATAGCAACGAATTTGAGCATTACTGAGTTGCCATTCTTTCTCTGCATTTTTCTGTTTTTCCTTCGTTTCATCTGTTTTGTGTGAGCTGATGCATTGTGTGTGCAAGTTCTGATTGAAATCTCAACAAAGACTTCAAATTTTGTTTTCGATGACGTACGGTATATGCTTTGAACGATGAGGAAGAATATTTCATACAAGGGTTAGATAGCAAATCCTTGTAAGGCAGCTTATCTCTAGGAAATTATATCAAGAGACTGGGACAAAAGGAAAGCATGAGTTAACCACAATGTGTCTGTGTCAGCTGCATGTGGGATGCTTGACTTGTGAGGAATTTAGGTACGTGGAAATGAATGGGGTCAGGTCATGTAAAGGGAAAGCCAAGTAAATTTCAAAGATACGACCTCTTTCTGTAACATATCATACAGCACTCCAGAAACATAATCTTCATGCTCTGTCCTGGATTGTTCAGCCAAAGATCCATTTGCCCTCTCCTCATGTCTACCAATTGTCTCATCCATCTGAGTCTGATCACTGGCACCGTTTGTGTTATCTTTCCCAGTTGCATCTGGGACTAGCTTATCTCTGTCTAGCAATCTACTACCACCATCAAACGATCTAGATGAACTCTTGGCTTGTTTCAATATTGCAGTAGCAGTGTTGGAACGGTTGAAACCAGATTGTAAATTCGATTTTGTCCTAGATAGATAGCCATTAGAGGACGCTCTAGAGAAGTTCTCAGCTCCACCAAGAGACTGACGCCTTGAAGGCCCATTGCTGATGATTCTTGCATCTGAGGATGGGCGGGATTTTCCATTCGATGCTTTAAACTTTTCCTCCAAAACCTTGAATCTTAGTTGGTATTTTTCCTAAGAAATCAATTAATGCTCAACTGTTAAGAAGAGGCTTAAACACATAATAGGAAACAGTTACCCTTACTTGTCAGAGCAGACTAAATTCAAAACAGTTAGCATACCTTTAATTGTGCTTCTGCCTTTGCAGTACGCTCAGCTACTGCCAGTTTGTCTCGAAGTTGTTGCATTTCTCCCTACAAAAATCATGTCAAATATTTCATTTTAAATCTCAAATAAAATTAACTGTTCCTTTCCTGCTCTGTTTTCACTTCCACCGCCGCTTCTTAAGGCAAAATAAACCATCTTAGAACAACAGCACGCACAAGCGCGCGCACATCCCATTTTCTAGCAACTACTCAAAATGGTCTATCCCATTTTCCAGATGGGATATCTGTTTTAAGGTCCTGGATACAGGGTAGTCTGTATCACTATCCTACATGCATCTTGACAGTAGGCCAACAATAATCATTGCAGGTCACCTATGGTACTAGATCATAATTCCATATGTTAAACCTCTTGGGTTAACATAGATGATCATTAAATACTTTTAGAACGATTTAAAGTAGAAAAAAAAAAAACCAATTCATGCTTTCTTTTTGGGCTGACGAGGCATCTGGTCCACATTTTAATTGATAATAACTAGGTCCATGTAGTTGCCTTATCCAGCATGAAGCGCCTAAGCCCCATTCAATTGCCAACCTCTTGTGTTAAGGATGCAACTAGAGACAATGAAACGAAATGACTATTTGTACAAATTAAAGGAATTGCATGCAGAAATGATGAGGTGGCATTGAAGTTGTAACATGCCTGAAAAAATCTCCTTTCTTCAAGCCATTGTTTTACGGGCATCACTTTGTCACTGGAATCTTTCCACTCATTTGCAACAACAGTGGCAACCCTATTTGCAGAGACCTTTGCACGAGCCCCCTCCCGTTCCAACAGTTTTTTCTCCTCCTACGCAAGCTTGAAGGTTAGAGGCAGTTTGCATTTGTGACCGACTCAGAACAACTATGAAGTGATTTGCAAGAACTGGAGTTCCAAGAAATGTTTATTACATTCATCTCCGGCACTTTACGCTGGTAATCACGCACAGCATTGGCAGCAGCTCCACCGGCTAAAACAGCCTCCTCAAGCTCGCGAACGGTTTGTGTTAGCTTCTCAACCTCAGCTACTTTTTGCCGGTGGATTTTGTCAAGAATTTTGTTCTCCTCCTGATAATCCACTAGTACATGTTACAAAAAATAGTGTCTAATGCTAGTACAAAACCCACGGTACATTCCCTCAATCACACACATTGCCTGCAGCAGGAAAACTCAGAGAACATACATACCTGGCATATTTCAATCTGTTTCATCAGCTCTTGATTTTTGTTTTGCAGATCGTGAAACCCAATACATTATGAACATTCTAAACCTCACATGTATAAACCAATATGGAAACCAAACTAGACGGTGGAAATTGACACAGAAAATTACTACATCAAAAGTTTTACAACAATCCTATCTGTCTTTAAGAATGTTGAATAAAAGAATAGATGAAAATAAAAATTGAGGTCATAGTATTGCAGAAGGAAAGTATATACCTCCTGCCTAGCAAGCTTAATCTCTGCTTCCAGTGGAGCGATGATGGCTTCAATGGGGGGCATTTCATCATCTTTTTGTGCAGCATGAACTCTTCGAAGTGTGGCTTCCGCTGCAAATTGTGCAGCCAAAGCTGCTTTTTTCTCATCATTTATTTTCTTAATCTCAAGATTCTGCAAATCATAGTGTACTCATTATATTGCAAACAGAAATGCATTTGTTGGTTACAGAAGATAGTACAATGAGGGATCAAAGGAAAATACAACTAGTACCTTGCTTTCCAGAAGGGCTTCAGTTGCTTTCAGCTTTTCATCCACCCTGTTTAGTTCATCTGTCAACTGGAATCATTAACCAACAGAAAAATAATCAGATAGTCCCATTTCTGATTGAACATAAAGTTTCTCCTTTGTAATAAAGAGCAATACATTGATAAATAAAATTTAACATGGTTCTTAAAATCTTGATAATTTTGTAATAAACCTATAATTATCTCACTCAGAAGAAGACATCAATAAAAAATCGAACAGAACAAAACTGAGAATAACAATATGGCTATAATCGTGTGGTAAAGGAGATATTTTCTTAGTTTTTTTAATAAAATAATATCTCCTCCAAGTTGCAGGGATTTTTCAAAATTTGCTACTCACTGTCAGTAAAAAAAAATGTATAACCTATTACATTTCAAGTTCTATTTTTTTTAGGGTAAAGGTTAAAAGAGTCCAATTGGAAATTTTGCTTATAAAACTTTGCTTAAAACTGACACAGCTTTAACACAGTAGCTAAGACTCTTGTAATCATTTAGGTTTCAAGTCTTTCATTGGAAAGTGGCATTATAAAATCTTCACCATGTCTATGTCCCAAAAGGCTGTTTGTTAAGTGAAGCTGCTGGATATAATAGTTAAGATTTTAAAGCAACAAAATATTAATCCATCACAATAGAAGAAAATGATTATATAAAAAATAATAATAATACGGACTAAAACATTAGAAGCTCAAAACATCCATTCACAACGTGGCAATTGAATAAGTAGGGTTCTCTTGATAAATTTTAGATAAATAAATGTTATAATAGAATAAAACCATTAATCCAAAAGGCAAGGGTAAAGGTTAAAAGAGTCCAATTGGAAATTTTGCTTTTAAGACTTTGCTTAAAACTGACACAGCTTTAACACAATCGCTAAGACTCTTGTAATCATTTAGGTTTCAAGTCTTTCATTGGAAAGTGGCATTATAAAATCTTCACCATGTCTATGTCCCAAAAGGCTGTTTGTTAAGTGAAGCTGCTGGATATAATAGTTAAGATTTTAAAGCAACAAAATATTAATCCATCACAATAGAAGAAAATGATTATATAAAAAATAATAATAATACGGACTAAAACATTAGAAGCTCAAAACATCCATTCACAACATGGCAATTGAATAAGTAGGGTTATCTTGATAAATTTTAGATAAATAAATGTTAGAATAGAATAAAACCATTAATCCAAAAGGCAATAATACTTAAAACCCAGTAACCACTAGGTAATATAGCAGACTGAAGGTTTCAGCTTTTAAGTATAAATAGACTGAATATTAACATAGAAGACTATCAAATCTCATCTTGGTTGTACAGAAGGTCCACTTACAGACATTTTTTTATAGATATCAAACAGCATTGCACTCCTCAGTATGTAGACTCACAATCAGTCAAAAAAAAAATTTCCTGCCTAACTCAAATTAAATGCATATACTAAATTGTTTGCAGTATTTAAAATAAGTACAATATATTTTTTGCATGGAAATAGATTGCTCTTTAATTTTAAGAAGTGGAAGGGTATTTTTTTAAGCAAATGTTCTCCAAAATAACTGTTGCATCGAATAGAAGGTGTAAAACATTGTTAGATAGAAAAAAAAACAACTTTAGAAAGAGTTGGCAAATAAAAGTCTGACAAAATCTGTCTCATTCATATATTCTAGTATATTGCTAATTCCACCATTAAAAAAAACAATTAAAATTCCTTTCTTTGATCATGCAACAACAATCAATGACCATAATCACAACTTCACAAGCCTATCTAGCTACTATTTAAACTTGCTAATAACATACAACAAAATACCAAAATTTGACAACATCGCGCTACGCGAATTGTTATAAGAAAATAAAAATCAATCCAATTGCTAATGCAAATAGAAGCACAACTTCGGCTTTATAAGCAAAATAGAGTACCTCTTCCACCGCCTTCTCTTTAAGGCGCTCTGAATTCCTCAAAGACTTGATTTCCCCAACAGCATCTCCCAATTCCCTATCTTTATCTGTTATTTCATTTCATAAATTTAAAAACGTATATATCAGTCAAATTTGACCTTATCAATTATAAAGTACACGAAATATAATTATAAATAAGAAATTTCATTTTAGGAAAAAGAAAAAAATCAAAGCTCTAACAAATATGAAATATCGTTTCTTTCCTTAGTAAGAAAATGCGGCTCTGAATTTAGAAGAAATTGGTTTCCAGAAAATACGACGAATTCGTCAATTTGATGAAATAAGAATATCATCTCTCCTATGTACAAAGAAAATGTGAGCTCCAAATTTTGCAGGGAAAATGGAGAGCGGAGAAGGCCGAAAAAGAGAGAGACCTCGGAGATCGTTCTCGAGGCGGTTGAGCTCAACTCGGACTGGATCGGAGCCGTGCATTAGGGTGATGATGTCATCGCCGTTACTCGTGGTCGACGCCGAGGCAGTTACCCTTTTTTCTTTTTTCTTTTTGTTGTAATCATGGATTTCATTCAAAAGCACAACAAAGGTGTGCAACAGAGGAATTACTAAGTTGCAAAAGCAAAAGAGAGGAATACGAGAAAGAAGAAGAAGAGGAGGGAAAGTGAGGGTGAAGAGAAGAGTGTGATAGAAAGCGTAAGGCCATGAAGCGAAGATATGGAGGAAAAGGAGGTCTCAGAAGAAGAAGCGCCATAGGATTTGGTTCTCTATGTTTTACTTTCTCTGTCTTTTAGACCTTCTTCTTTTAAAAATAAAAAATAAAAACTTGTAAATTCTGTTTGAGTAAAGCGATAAAACCCTTTTCGCCATAAACCTCGTTTCCCTCCTCTTCCTCCTAAAACCCTACACCTCTCGCCATATAACAAAAAAAGGGTTAATTACTGTAGACGTCCTTGAACTATGGCCCCAGTTGCAATTGAGTCCGTGAACTAATTTTTGAGGCAATGAAATCCTTTAATTAGACAATCAATTGCAATTAGGTCCTACCGTAACAGAATTCATCGAGATTGACCATGTGAGTGTCACGTGCTCTTGTTATTCGAGGTATCTTTAACTTTTCGTCGTTTTGAACGAAACAAATCCAATTTAGCGCTGAAGAAAGGAGGAAAGCACGTGAACTATCCCTACTAAGGCAGCCATTGGAGTTGCATACAGTGAGCTATCCCTTATACGACAGCCATTGGAGTTAAATTTACTGCAGCAATGATTGAGTGAGTGAGAAATTTTCTGTGTAAGCTTCGAAATTTGGGGTTGATCGAGGGTACAGTTAAAGGTTAGGGTTTCATTTTGGGGATAGTTGGGTTTTTCGTCCTTTTGGCTGATAGTGATGGAAGAGTTTGACTTCCGTTGGGGTGGTGTTGCTCCTAAATACAATAAGTGATTCTACCTGTTTGTATACGTACCAGTTGGTTTTGTTTTCATATGTGTGGTCCATAGCTTTTAAAGATACCTTACACGCTTTGCTTTATACTGTTCTTGACTACAACACTTAGGGTTTTTTTTATCCCTTCTTGCCTTCTATCTATGCCTCACACCAAATGGACTGAAGTTATTCCATAACAATTAAAAAACTGAACGAACTGTGTACTGTATATTTTGGTTTTGGTGCAGAACATTGAATTAAAACATGATTTTGTCTGATTTTATGATTCCAAAACAGGTGTGTGTGTTTTAGCATTGTTTTGACCCTTGTTTACTGTGCAGGTAACCATGAAAACTGTAGTTTAGAACTTCACCATGGGGGTGTGTTGGAAAGTGGGGAGTATAAAAATGGAAAAGTTTGTTACTTGGATAATGTTGTAGAGGATTTTCTGTCATTGGTGACTTAAGAAAGGTAGGGAAAGGGCTTGGTTACAATGTTCCCATAATTACTAATAATAATAAAAATTAGTTTTCTGAATCTAGAAACACTGCGTGGGTACTCAGTCACAATATTGTGGTCCCTACATCTAAAGTGCAGTTCTCTTAAAGTACTCTTGCAATTGGTATACACTGCACTAAGGATACAGGCAATCACCATTTCATACCAATTAAGATATATATAACTTTTTTCCATACCTACAAATCCTCTCAAACCCACTTCCCGGAATTGGCTCCGAAACTGGGGCCTCCCCCCAAACCCTACAATCTTTGGGTGGCAGGAAACTTTAGCAAATAGCTAGAGAGGTATCTTGAGGAATCAAACCCCAGACCACGTGGTTGCAAACCACAGCCCTGACCACTGACTAAACTCTCATTGGTCAATGAAAATGTGTAGACCGACCAGAGGATCCCAGACATGTGAACAAATGCCTAAACCGAAATATGTTAATGCTATGGGAGCATGTACAATTGCAGGGGTAACGATTCTTATAGTGCTGTTTGGGGATTTGATAAGCTAATTCCTGTAGATGTCTATTTGCCGGGCTGTCCACCTAAACCGGAGGGGTTCGGTGAAATAGACATGTCTGTGAAGACATGGACTGCCAGCACCTGGACCGAAAGACCACATGAATCTTCACTGTTCTTCGGGATTGGCTTTGGCGATTTAAGAAAACATATACTAATTACAAAAACTGTTTTTTTAATAGGTACACTTTCTCTTTGTAGTATTCTACCTCTTGCTTGTTTTTGGTAGGTATTTTCATTATCTGCTCCAAAATGTTTACCGCGTTACAGAATTTACGTAGCATGCATAACATTCAATGAACAATTTACAGACTCTAGACATATCGACTAAACATATGATAAATATAAGTATGAAAGGCATGGTAGGGTATAAAGGCACATCAAACTACATGTGAACATTAGAATATCTTGACAAGCCTTATAAGAAATCACGACTCTGTGTTCTTACTCTAATATATACAAAAAAGGATTTGTGAAGCTTTTGACTAAAAGGCATAGAAGATGTAGCATACCCCACGACCATTGTCAGCGATGCTCACAGAACCATCTGCAAGTAAAACAACCTCCATCTTTGAAGCAAATCCGGCTTGAGCCTCATCCACAGCATTATCTAATATTTCATAGACCTAAAAGAGCATGATTATAAACTTCTTTATTGACTCAGATGAATCTAGCAAAAGCACATTATTAAAAATGGAAAGATAAAAGTGAGGAAAAACAATACCAAATGGTGAAGACCACGAGGTCCTGTGCTTCCAATACCTGAACATGTTAGACGTTATAGCATCAAGCCAAAACTAAGTCGGAGTGACAGCTTACAAGACCCACTCAACAATTTCCAACAAACATAAACACCTTAATAAACTTACTTATCTGTTTTAAAATGAGGGGCAAAATATGAAAGGGAAAAGCACCTGGGTTGTGGGTTGAACAAGAGGGAGGGAGGGACGAGCAAGAGAGGAAGACGAGAAAGAAGAAGAAGAGGAGGGGAAGTGAGGGTGAAGAGAAGAGTGTGAGAGAAAGCGTAAGGCCATGAAGTGAAGATATGGAGGAGAAGGAGGTCTCAGAAGAAGAAGCGCCATAGGATTTGGTTTTCACTCTGTTTTACTTTCTTTGTCTTTTAGGGGAGCAGATCCTCTCCATGTCCCCTCGCTGAAACGTGTCAACTAAAATAACAAGAAGTTAACTTTATTAACTTTTTATTTGACAATTTTAAAAATTAAAAACTGCCCAATATTGAGCGAGCCAGCGAGCGTCTTCGTCCTCTCTGAGCGAGCGTCATCTCCTCTTTCTAACTTTAGTTACTCGATGTCACGTATTTTGAATAGCTACTCGGTGTCATGTCATTTTCTTAACTTTAGTTACTCGGTTTCACGTCTTTTGTTCTTTGTGCTGTGAGTTTATTAGGCGTATTTGGCGATTTGGGCTGTGAGGTTGCCAAACACTTTGTAAACATCCCAATTTGTTGATAGTGTATGTGTTTGCACATGCTGCTCTTGGAACATACCCAGTTATACCCAATTTGTTAAATCTTTTATTTTCTTGTTTTTACATTTATTTTCTATTATTATCTTTGGGTTAGCAGCACCTGCTTCAGTAGAAATTTATCGATTTCGAAATGTATTGATGCAATTATTTTCTTAAGGCTTGGTGCTTCTAGCACAACACATACAAGTATAAATGCATATAACAACCAACTTAGAAAATTGTAAAGGACAATACTGCTTTATTTGCTTGCATACATATGCCTTCACATGTGCAACTTCTTCTGTACTCTACGATCTTTTCTGCAGATAAGTACCAATGGCTGAGAAAAAATCAAGGACAGCATCTTTCACTTTGTCAAGGAAGTGAAAATAGGCATGCCTCCAAGACCTCTTCATGGCCAAAGTCCCAAAAACTCCCCAAAACCCTGCACAGAAACCTATCACCATGCTGATGACGAACGGTAGCTTTTCAAGTTTACTGTCATCATCATCCTCTCCTCCATCTCCACTTGGAACTTGAGGTGTTTCTTCATTGTCTTGGCAACCAATTGGTAATGGACACCCGCTAAGACCAGCATTACCCGTATAAATTGACGGGTCAACAAAGGTCTGAAACTGGTTACCCGTTGGGATTTTCCCGGACAAGTTATTGTATGACATATTCAAATGATTCAAAAATGTTAAAGAAACCATGCTCTGTGGAATTGAACCTGAAAGTTTGTTCAATGATAGATCAAGAGTTTCTATCAACTCCAGGTTTCCGATATTTGCTGGGATAATTCCTGTCAAATGATTCATGGACAAATTTAAGATGCGCAACTTTATAAGGCTTGTTAGGCCCATAGGTATCTCTCCTGACAATTTATTGTCCGATAGATCAATGCTAGTAACAAGGGCAAGGATGGAGTGATAATCATATACAAACACTCTTCCTTTTGACACTAACTCAAAACTTTTAATGCAACCAAGGGAATAATAGTCAATGTTCTCATATTTCAAGTGACTCAAATTACCTAAGCAGTGGGGAATATTTCCGGAAAGATTATTGTGTGAGAAGTCCAATATACGGAGAGCGGAAAGGCCACATAATTTTAAAGGGATGCTTTCCGTAAATGAGTTGGACCTCAAGCTTAAAATCTTTAAAGAGAGCATGCTTTCACCAATGAAAGCTAGAATCGGTCCAAAAAACTTGTTATCACCAAGATCAAGAATTCTCAGGTTAGTGCAGTTTTTCAAGGAAGGAACTTCACCTGAAAAGTTGTTGCTAGAGAGGATCAAGAACTTGAGTGAAGTAAGAGAGCCTAAGGATCTTGGGATTGTACCAGAGAGACTGTTGCTTGACAAGTCTATACAACCCAATGATGGCATATTGTTCCAAAAATGAGGAATCTCACCAGAGAGACTGTTGTTTGACAAGTTTATACAAACCAATGATGGCATATTGTTCCAAAAATAAGGAATCTCACCAGACAAGAGGTTATTTGAGATCAATATGAATTGTAATTGGCTTAAATTACCCAAGAACAGGGGAATGCTTCCACTCAAAGAGTTCGTAGAAATGTCTAGATATTTCAAATTGGGCATCACTTGACCAATGTTATGAGGAATTGGCCCTGAAAATAGATTATCTCTAAGATACAGCAAGGAAATGTTTGAGGACCAAAGTGGGAGTGGGCCTTCAAAGCGGTTTGAAGTCAAATCAACATGGGAATCATAGCTGAATCTTAAATTTCCAATCGATTTTGGGATTGAACCCTGAAATGAGTTATACGACAAGTTGAGGAATCTCAAGCTTTTAAGATGTCCCAAAGAATCAGGCAGTTTTCCTGTAAGACTGTTAACTGAGAAATCCAACTTCTCTAGTTTAGTGAGATTAAACAACCAAGGAGGTATCGTGGAGGTGAATTCATTGCCAGAGAGATCAAGAACTGAAAGGGATGTGAAATTGATGGAAGGAAGAGTGAGAGGAAGCATGGGAAGACTACAATGGGGCAAATACAATTCAACTAGTGAAGGGAGCATATTAACAGCGGGAAGCCAATAAGATGTAGTCTTAGTAAGGTTCACTCCTCCCAAGTTAAGGTACTTTAAGGAAGAAAGAGTTGCAAGCCACTGAAGGTCAGTCTCAAGAGTTCCAGAACTCTTAAGATCAAGATAAAGCAACCTTGAGAGGTTTCCAAGATTGGGGGGAATGACTCCAACAAAATATGTACGAGAGAGATTGAGGTATTTCAGTTTCTCTAGTGATCCAATGAAACTTGGAAATTGGACACCTCCAAACAAATTCAAGCTCAAATCCAAGTATTCCAAATCTTTCAAAACAAGCAAAGAAGGGTTGATCTCACCATCAAATCCATGCTCTGTTGGTCCGTAATAATCAAACCAATCACGATTGTGAAGATTGAGCCTGTTGACACGTCCAGTTATGTTGTTGCAGCCTACACCACTCCATTTGCAGCAATCTTCTCCCACCCAAGACGAAAGCCGTCCGGAAAGATCTGTGAGGCCTTGTTTGAGCTTGAGAAGGGCTTTCCTCTCTATATCTATGCATCCTACATTATGATCATCACTGCAGAAACCGAGTTTAATGGTTTCAAGGGATAAAATTCCTGACAGTATAATTAGTGAGACAAGTTGGATGGAAGCACTAACACTGCTGTGACCCATGATTCTTATGCAATGGGATGATCTGTAGGACTAAATATATGAGTCTGCAAGATTAAAATGAGAATTCAGATGGTTGAGCTTTTGTACGCGTCGTCGCGGACACGCTATCTTGTATATAGGATCTCTGGTTCCATATCTATGAAATGACTTCCAAGTCTTTGATGAAGATAAAATACTGACACTGGTACGATCTTGATTTGTGGTGTAAATAGTTCAACCCCACAGCACTTAAGCCAGATAATGACTTTGAAGTCTAAAGTAGCAATTTCAGTCAATGGGATATTTAAGACCACAAATAGGGAGTACAAGTCGGACAAATAATATTAAAAAAAATACTTTCGTCGCATATTTTTCAAATAATCTATTTGATGTAGTCATAGAAGAGTTATTTACATAAACATCGTCTAAGGTTTTTAGTTTTTTCATAAAACACCTTGAGGTTTTAAAAATTACACGAACATCCCCTGAGGTTTTTAATTGTTTTTACAAAACTCCATTTCATTGATTTTTCATCCAAAAAGTGATGATTTTATAAAAAAAAAAAATCTCCGAATGACAACTGATCTAACTAAATATTTGATACAAGTATATGAAATCATATATGAGACTTCCAGATACGTTTTTTATGACGGTATTATTACTTTGAACGATGAGGGAAGAAATTTTCATA